CAGCCTGGAGAAGAGAAGGCTCCAGGGAGTCATCACTGTGGCGTTTCAGTGTTTAAAGGGGCCTGTAAGAAAGATGGGGACAGACTTTTTAGCAGGACCTGCAGCAATAGGATGAGGGGTGATGGTTTTAAACTAAATTAGGGTAGATTTAGACAAGATGTAAGGAAGAAATTTTTTATACTGAGGGTGGTGAAACCCTGGCCCAGGTTGCCCAGAGAGGTGGTAGAAGCCCCATCACTGGAAACATTCAAGGTCAGGTTGGACAGGGCTCTGAGCAACCTGATCTGGTTGAGGATGTCCCTGCTCACTGCAGAGGGTTGGACTAGAGACCTTGAAAGGTCCCTTCAACCCAAACCAGTCCAAGTTTCTATTAATTAAGTGTGTTTTTCTCAAATGATTGACCGAAGAGAGCAAAGGGTATTTCCTTGTGGTTTCATCCAGCCCTGAGTACCCTGGAAGGCACCATGGGTTGAGAGTGGCCAGATTTTACAGCTTGTGAAAGTGGGTGGGCAGTATTTCTATTTTAATAGTTGAATATTTAGTAATGCCTCCTGAAGGCCAGGCAAACTGCCAGCTCTTGCCCAGGAACTCTCTACTCAGTGCTGCTGACAATAGTCCAGACTTCATGACTTTCCTTGGAAACCTTAAAAAATGAAATTTATGTATGACCTAAATGACTGAATTTCAGACCAGACAGAAACTGAACTGGGTGCTGCTGGTTCTGACTGCCCCTGGGGTTTGACCTTGTCCTGACGGTGCGGGACTGAAGCAGTCAGTCATGGCCAAGTGTTGCTGCTCAGTATCAGGATTCATCAGCAATTTCCTTCCCAGCCCCTGGTGATACTTTCCCGTTCTTTCCTTCAGTGCAGAGTAAACACCAAGCCCTAGGAAAAAGTGAACTGCATATTAAAGTGAGTGATAATACTGAGGTGCAGCTGGAGATGTTACAGACAGGTACAGCCACCGGTCCTACAAACAGCTCTGCTCTTCTTGTGGCCTCACTAGATAATCTCCTTTGTGGGGTCTCTCCATATAGGTACAGTAAATTTCCTCTGCAGCATTCCAACAGCATGTGTCCTTTTTATTCTGAGTGACCTCATTATTTGGAGCCTTTGCTGGAAAGGTGGGTGATGACCACGTGCTGCAGGAATGGTTAACTTGAGGAGTACCCAAAAGGCATTAGCAAATGCAGAACCCTGTGCTCTACCATTTCAACAGAGTGAACTTGGCGTGGCCATCAGGTAGCACCCAGGAGAAGACCTGGGAGGCTCTCCTGTTCGCAGAGCCCACGGTGGGCTGTGTTTTGATTACTTCAGATGATTTGTGCTACTCCATCTTCCTTTGGCCAAACCTGTGGAACAACCAGGAGAAGTCAAATAGGAGAAGAAAACAATCGTGGAGGTCACACTGTTTCTTTCTGCCCAGGATGGCCTTGGATTTTGACCAACCTGGGCTTTTTATATAATGCTTGTGTTGTTCTCTGTGGTTTTTTTATTATTTTTTTTGGTTTTGACCCCTTAAATATTGTGCTGGTGGTGTTTTTATATAAAAGATTGTGTTCCTAGGAGTAGGTTCTGTCATCTTCAAAACCTCAGTGCCCAAGGCAGTTTGAAGTCAGTGAAGGACGTGTCAGATGCTCAAAATTAATGAGAACTCTGCAATTTATTTCCAAAAGTTGAAAATAAATCTTGAATCTTAGGGGGGGAAAAAAAAATGACTTAACTGTTCTTCCTAAAGGGTTGAATTAACTATCAAAAAACGATTGAGTGGATGCCCCCTCCCTGGAAGTGTTGAAGGCCAGGCTGGATGAGGCTTTGAGCAACCTGGTCTAGTGGAAGGTGTCCCTGCTGCTGGCAGGGGGGTTGGAACTGGATGAGCTTTAAGGTCCCTTCCAACCCAAACCAGTCTGGGATTCTGTGATTCCTGTGTGAAGAGCTAACGCTTCTCCATGAATTGAGGTGATGTTGGTCTTGGCTGGTGGAGGGGTGGGATTTACAGAGGAATTTGCATCAAATTGATCTGCCTAGCATTTGGAAACTCTTCTTTGGGGGTTTGGCATCAGAAATTACTGGTGAGACATGTTCCATGTTGAGCAGCAGAGAAATAATGGCAGGGATTTGCTAAAGTGTTGGATGTCTACCTCTGGATGTAGGTGGGAGCAAGTAGGCTACAGAGGAACTTACAACAATGTGCAATGTCCTAGAAAGAAACGCAGAGAAATGGCAGTGTGGCCGCATCCTCATGTCATTGAGGACTCTGCTTAATCCATTTTTTATTTTTTTTTAAAGTTCTTGTCCACAGTGTTGCTGTTATCTGGGAATTGGTGACTGGCAGGAGGAGGAGATGGTTGGGTGGCTGAAGGGCCGGCTTGGAGAAGTTTACGATGCAGAGACCACGTATAAATGGATTAAAGAAGTGATAATGGGTGCTTGATCTTGCTTAAGCTAGCAAAGCAGCTTTGATTTGATTGTAGGTCATTTTAAGCCAATTTCCTACTAACTGTGTTTCTTGCTAAAATAGTCTTTGCTTTCTAGAGGAGGTCTTTAAAAAGAAAAAAAAAAAGGGAGGGGAGAAGGGAGAGGAAAGGTGGGGTGAAATTCAGTGTCCCTGTGCTAAGCAATTGGAAACGCAGTGTCCTGCACAGCATCCGTGTCCAGTTGTGTGGAGAACAGAGCTGAATTTGGGTTCCCATGCTGTTGTGTTGAGTTGTCAGATCTCCTGAGGGGTTAATTCAGCCTCAGGCTGTTTGAGGAGGGTCTCCTGCTGCTTGGCCCTGTGGTGGTCATTGGAGAAGCTGCTCTGTGTGGAAATGGGAACTAGCAGAAGCCCGTAGTGTTTCTGCAAGTTGTCTCACGTGCTCATCTCTCTGCAGAAGACTGCCAGTCATGGGATTTGTTTCTGGTTATATTTTTTGAGGCAGAACTTTGTTTTCTTTAATGGCTTACTTTGTTTCTGTGCAGAGGAAGGTCAGGGCTTGAATCTTGATGCATTTATTATTGATAGCATGCGTCGAAAACATTAGAGGAGTGACTAATGGCATGGTCTGAACTGGAGCAGTGCTGTTTCTCAGGCTGTCCATTATCAGGCTTTAGACCATAAGGTAAGCGTGGTGTAGCCAGAGAGGCTGAGCTCAGTGGTGGGCTGTCACTAGGATAACGTCATCCCAACTCCAGAGAGCTGCAAAATTACAGTGACTTTGCAATGGCTGTGTACCAATTCTGATGATTTCTTTTAGGACTTATAAACACTGAGCTATTATTCCACTAATAAAAGCTAAATTTGCAGATGAGGGGATGCTCTTCTCGAATCAAATTGTTGAATACTTGTATATTGCTTTGCAAAGTGCTGGAAATTCTTTAATCTTTCAAGCTTCTCCTTCCTGAGCATCTTTGGTGTTGCAGGTGGCAGCGTGGTGCAGTGTGGCACCGAGGCAAAGAGAGGAATAGGTGTCAGGAGTCTTCTCAAAGTCCATGCTCGCCATGCTATTGCTGTATCCAATGTCTCTAAACATCTGAAAGCATCTTCACTTGAACTTGCTGTCTTTGTGAGAATTATCTGACAAGGATGAGCTGACTTAAAATTACTAAATGCCTCCAGAAAAAGAGGAAACTTGTTATATTTTCATTAGTAAATGCAGCTGAGCAAATGGTCCTTCATGTCCAGAGCTTTCACTTGCAGTGGACACATCTTGTTGCTACTTGACACCAATGAGCAGTTTAAATTCCAGATTATTTTGCCCTCCACCTGGATTTGGTGCTCTTGTTGGTTTTTGGGTGCATCTGTGACACGAATGATACTGACCTCCTGAGTGCAAGCCAGACTGGAAGTTAATTTTAACTCTCTCCTTTAAATGTTGTTCCCAGGCATCTGAAGAGGCCTCGCTCCGGGCTTTGGAGAGTCTCATGACGGAGTTTTTCCACAATTGCACAACGAATGAGCGGAAACGCGAGATAGGTGAGTTCAGAAGGACAGTCCCCTTTGTTTTCTGCTGCCTACAGACCTCAGCAGAGGTGACTTTGTGACGTAAACACAGCAGATGAAAATGCTCTATCAGATACCAAGCTGGCATCTTGGCCTTTCCTCTTTATGTGAGAAGTTGAAGTGAAGGCTTATGTAGTTTGGGTTAATGGCAGGTTAATTAATATGTCAGTAGCTGTCTAGTGCTGTGGCAATGTAGTTTTTATCAAGGATAGTAAGTTGGTGAGGGTAGGAGAAGGACATTACCTTTTTTTTCCTGCCTCTACACTACTGGACTTCACATCCTGGAAAACCACTGCCTTCTGCCTAGAGATGGAGCATGGACTTCAGATCTGTTCAGCATTCAGAAGGGAAAGCAGAAAACTGGCCTAGTTAATGTGAAATGGCAAGTGGGAATAAACTGTGAGGTTTCATTTTGCTGGTGGGATTAAATATCCTCCTGAAAACCAGCAGAGATCCTACAGGTGCTCTAGATGAGCTTCTTACATCTGTAGTTAGGGGCTGTAAATAGGCTGTTTGCTTTTAGTCTCAAACTTCTGCTGTCTCTAGCTTCCATGCCAAAAGTATGATCAGCATGAAAAACTTCTCCCAGAAATCTGGTAAAAATAAAGAATAAGCAACTAGGCAAGTTTGGGGGGGGTTTTGGGGGGGTTTTTTCTATTGTGGAGATCTCCTGCTGTGGAAAAGGCAAAAGCCTTTGGAATTCCCCATTTTTCCTACTTAAGCTGCAGGAAAGAAGCCAGGTGATTAAGGCTTAAATTTGATTCTCCTGTAAAACAGCCCTTGCAGCTTTTCCCTTTGCCACATTTGGTACGTAGTCACTTGATGTGAGCTGACCAAATCCTGTACCTCAGTGTTCAGAGAGGTTTTTGATATGTTGACCTACAACAATGTCAATGGCTCTTCGAGCAATTGCGTTAAAACAAGGGTGTTTTATAATGCTGTGTGTGATCTGAAGTGCTCCTAGTCTTTCACAGTGACCTGGTATCCCAACATTTGGCTTTTATGGATAAAATGATAATACTTGTAATGTAATTTCTGTGTCATTTGTTTTAATATTCAGCTATTAGTCCAGCAGAGTATTTATGTCAAAACTATATTATAAAATGACATATCTATTTTGTTTTCATTAAAGCCTATTGTTAGATTGCTTTTAATACTTTGGAGTGTGATTTTTTTAATATATATATATATATTTATATTTTTTTTCCCTCCTCCAGGTTGTTTGAGTCATTCCCTGAACATGGGGTTTCTTCCATGCTCAGTGTTTTATTATCCTATCAGTACACATTGTTACGGATTTGTTTACAGCTTAAGAATTTTAATGTAATTTTTTAATACTTCATTTTTTTTCAGAGGAGCTTTTAAATAACTTTGCCCAGCAGATAGGAGCCTGGAGATTCTGCCTCTATTTCTTGTCAAGTACAAGAAACGACTATGTGATGATGTACAGTTTGACTGTGTTTGAGGTAAGATGTGTACTCCTGCCTGCTTAGTGCATTTTCCATTTGGTGCAGATATGGCAATCGATTTTATTTGAAAATGTTTGTCTAAAATGGCAGTCCTAGTAAGTACAGTGATAAAGGATGATGCTTTTATTGCTCTCTCCTAGAGAGGTTGCTTAATGGCAGGCTGAGAGTAGGAGAATATGAATCTTTATACACAAATTGAAGAATTAATTTCCTGGCATCTCTCTGTACAAATTACCTAGAGTTTCAGATGCTGCTTGTGTTTTCTGCACAATGCTTTTAAGACTGTTATTGCTTTTATACTCTTTTATGGTCAGAAATATGTGCATGATTACCTGCTACTAGCTACTGCAAACGTTAATGCTAAGAGGGAGGACAAAGTTGCTTTTATTTTTCTGACATCTGATGGTTGTGGTTGATGCTCGTTGAACTACGTCCCACAAGCTTATGTGCTCGTTATAGAGGTAAGGTCGCTTTTAGAAGACCACATCTATAGAAGAAGTTATGGTTAAAAGCCTAAATATTGATTTGTGGATCTACTGGAAGAAGCAAAAATATTCTGTGAACAGCTCTGATTTCTCAGTGACCAGTGCAATGTTTTTCCCTAACGATGTTCTGGGGTTTGGTCAACGTCACACCTCACCCTGGCTCCGTTTGAGTTCTGCATTTTGCCTTTGGCTGGGTTGGCAGTCTGAGCTCTGCTCCTAAATCAAGGGGGTTTATATCCTTTGCAGGAGATATATATAGAATCCCAGACTGGTTTGGGTTGGAAGGGACCTTAAAGCTCATCCACTCCCAACCCCCCTGCCATCAGCAGGGACACCTTCCACTAGACCAGGTTGCTCAAAGCCTCATCCAGCCTGGCCTTCAACACTTCCAGGGAGGAGCAGCCACAACTTCCTTGGGCAACCTGTTCCAGTGTCTGACCACCCTCAGAGTGAAGAACTTCTTCCTAATATCTCATCTAAACCTCCCCTCTTTCAGCTTAAACCCATTTCCCCTTGTTTTGTCATTAACTGCCCTTATGAAAAGCCCTTCCCCAGCTTTCTTGTAGCCCCTTCAGGTACTGGGAGGCCACTATAAGATCTCCCTGGAGCCTTCTCTTCTCCAGGCTGAACAGCCCCAACTCTTTCAGCCTGTCTTCATAGGAGAGGTGCTACTTAAATATATATAAAAGATATTTTTATATATCTTTTTTAGATAGAGCAGTCAACTCTCTTCTTAGACGTTGTGTTGTTTTGATCAGTGTTGTGTCCATGTTGTTGTAGTTCATTTCTTGACTTAAAAATGCTCACTTTATTTATCTGGGGTTGCACAGGGAACCTGAAGTTGATCTGCAAACTGAATCTGGATTACCCTTAGCCATGAGGCCACCTTTCCTCTCAAAAAGGGTTAATCATGATGGAAATGGTATGGGAGTTGTACACTCCTCCGGGGATGGAGCTCACACAGCAGCAGCCTGTAATGATTCAACCAATTTTAATGAAAAAGAAAAACATGTTTGATCACTGAGCCTTCTGCTTCTCTGGAAGGAGACAGAAAAAAGTAGTACAGAAAAAAAAATACTTGTGCCCAGAATGAAGCAGAACAAAGAAATCATTGTCCAAGTGTAAAGTCAGGGACAGGAGTCCACAGCTCAGCTGGGAGATTAGCATCTCTCAATCGAGGAGCTTGAGTTTCCAAAGTTAACTACTGTAGTGCTGTGTGTTTGACTAGTCCTCACAGCTGTAGTCTGCACCTTCATCAGTCTGAACTGCCTGTGAGTACTGGGTGTCAGGAAAAGTGTGTGTGTAAACACAGGGATCATTCCCAAAACTTCCCGAGAATGTTGTATTTTCTAGAACATCTGGGCAGTTAACAGTGGATCTGGAATAAAAATCCTCATGGCCCCTTTCCAGATGAACCCTTTTCACTTCTTGCTTTTGGAAAAGAGAACGTCTTCCCAAAAACATTTCACAGGTGGAAAAAGCTGCCACTCTGTGTCAAATGAGTGGGACAAAACTGGGTGGGCGCTGAAGAATGGATATTAAAGCTAAAGCGTCCTCCAGTTTTACTGGGGCTTCTGAAATTTTCCTTCTGGACTTGCATCAAGGGACTCTCATTTGATTTGGGTCATCGCTGGTTTTGAACAATACTTCTGGGTCTTCTCTGTAAAAAACAAAACAAAAACCAAAAAAACAAACAAACAAAAAAAAACACCCAAAAAACCAACACCCAAAAAGCAACCTCTTTAAGGCACTTCATGTATAAATACACCTCTGTACCTCTACCCTGTGAACTGGTGCCTCTGCACAGTACGTCTGTACTGGAAGTTGGATCTGCTTCGACCATCAATAATGTTCCATTTTCTGCAACAAACCACTTTGCAGCATCTCCTGCTTTTGGGTTCTCCAAGCTGTACGCCCTCAGACAGCTACAGACGGTGCCCCAGCAGCAGGCCACCTCAGTAAGTTATCCTGAGCTCCAGAGCTCCAGAGCTCCTAAATGGGATCGTAGCGTGGCAGGAAAGCAATTTGCAATTTTGGCTTCTTATGGATTTTGTCCAGTTTTAAGTGGACTGAGAGCTTTCTGTTCGAGTGGTGCCTCATCACTGTGAGGCAGCCGCTCTGACGGCGACCTTCCCGCGCAGCTTCAGGAGACCCGGCTGGCATCAGAGAGATCTACAGCCAAACTTGCTTCCCCTCTTCTTCTTTTTCTGCTTCATAGAAGGCTATGCTTCGCCCTTCAAAGTGGGAAATCTAGGTGTCCAGGGTTAAAAGATGGTGGAAATACTTTAGATGCATGCCAACTAGTTCTGCTTGACCCAAAACCAGTTAAATGGTAGCATGCTGGTTGCTGGCACTTGTCAGTTAATAGAAATGATGGTGTGATCAAAGAGTAGCAATGTCTGGGGCATTGAAACTCATCTTTTGTGAAACTGTAGTGGTGGAGGGCTTCTGCAAATGTGATATGCTTGTGTTGGGGGTGGGTTTTGGGGCTCTTGGTAGAGATCACGCCGGTGCACTGTGTGGTTTGTGAGAGACAAGCTCAGTGAGTTTTGTTTGGCACCTTGAGCCGTCACTCTCTTCAGTTGCCCAAGTGACCCATTAGGTAGCAAAGCTTATTCCAGGTTAGTTAGTGGTGCAGAGTTTGCCCTCTGTTAAGCTGCTCTTGTTCTGCCTGGCTTAGTTTGCACAGACTCACCTCTCCATGTTGTTAAAGATGTCAGGGTTGGTACTGGACTGCTGAGCCGTTAAAGCATCTTAAATTTCAGCTCTTTGCCCAGCGAGCCTGTGTCAGAGCTCTAACAACAGAGAAACATCTGCTTAACCTGCTGATACCAGCTTCTTTCCTTATCTACAGCTCTGCCCGTGCAGCAGAGGAGGCTGAGCTGTATCTAATGTAGGTGCTTCATTTTTTAACTGACCAGGCTTGGTCAGTGGAGGTCTGGATAGATGTGGAAGCTGTAGCCTTTTCCCTGCTGTGCGTTGTGGCAGGCACTGGCAATCCCGCGGCGTAAAATGCAGCAGCTCTGCCTGGTGCTCTGTCCCTGCATTATGTGTCCGCTGTTTAATTTCAGTGAAGCATGTCTAAGACAAGCTCATTTGGGAGGTCTGTTTCTCTTCCAGAACCTAATCAATAAGATGTGGCTTGGGGTCCCATCCCAAGACAAAATGGAGATCCGCAGCTGCCTGCCCAAGCTCCTCCTGGCTCACCATAAAACTCTGCCTTACTTCATCAGGAACAAGCTCTGCAAAGTCATCGTGGATATTGGCCGGCAAGACTGGCCAATGTTCTACCATGACTTTTTCACTAACATCTTGCAGGTAAGAAGCTTCTAAAGAGAAAACTTGGTTTCATTCACAAAGAGTCATTACTTTTTTTCATTGAGTAGTGACTTCCCTTGATGAAGATTAAATAGTCACATGAAAAACAAAGCTGCTTCTTAACTTCCTTTTTAATTTAGCTTCCTACAGCTTTCTATATTCACATTTCTTTCTAGTGTTAACGTTTTTTGATGAAGGAACAATGCATCAACTGCACTTTGAATTTTAAATGTTTAGGAGTAGTTCTTGAAAATGTAGGGGTTGGGGGTTATTCTTTAAAGAAAAAAAAAATCAGTAAAACTATGGATGCGTCACTGGATGATTCTTAAAAGTGAAGTTTCTGAATGTGGCTGTTGGAGATTTTTCACCTAAATAGCCCAAGGTCCCCTAAAATCTTTCACCTTATCATGTGCAGACACAAATGGAATGTTGTTGAGATGTTTAAGAGGGTTCTTGCAGGATGACTGGAGTGTGTGTTCGAGGATCCTGACTGAGACAGTGCTATTAGTTTGAATTTTAGTTGTAATTCAGTATCTCTGCAGTGAAGCCTGAGCCAGGCTACCAGCTCCTCACTGCTGGAGCCTAACTAGGCCAGTGCACACCTCCTCTTTTGGTTACAGAATCACAGAATATTAGGGATTGGAAGGGACCTGGAAAGATCATCCAGTCCAACCCCCCTGCCAGAGCAGGAACCTCAATGAGATCACACAGGAAGGCGTCCAGGCGGGTTTTGAATGTCTCCAGAGAAGGAGACTCCACACCCTCCCTGGGCAGCCTGTCCCAGGGCTCTGGCACCCTCACTGGAAAGAAGTTTCTTCTCAAGTTGAAGCAGAACCTCCTGTGTTCCAGCTCACACCCATTGCCCCTTGTCCTGCCATTGGGCATCACTGAGAAGAGCCTGGCTCCATCCTCCTGACATTCACCCTTTACATATTTATAAACATTAATGAGGTCACCCCTCAGTCTCCTCTTCTCCAAGCTAAAGAGCCCCAGCTCCCTCAGCCTTTCCTCAGCAGGGAGATGCTCCACTCCCTGGTTCCAGTGCTTTGTTTCCAGTTCTCTTAAAATTGTTCATAATTAGCGTAAAGAAACTGAGTGTAAACTGACGTGCTGCACAGTCTTTTTCTGCTGACATCATTATATGATTTGAATGCAGCTATGCCCACAGACAAGCCAAGGCAGTTATTTAAACTTATTAAAAAAAAAAAAGTTCTTTTTTTAGACAAATGGATCTAGTATTAATTGCAAAATTAAAAAAATGCTAACTTGGCATACAGAGCTGGTTACTAACTGGAATAATCTCTTTGCAGATAACTTTCTGTAATCATGCAATGTGACGTGCTGCAATTTTCTCCTGAGTTGTCAATTTGACAATAAGTACTCTGAGACAACTGTCTCCACTTACAATTTTGCCTTTCACTTTACCTGGATCTGCAATTGAATTTCTGAGCTTCCACTTGCTTTTCTAGCACTTTGGAGGTTATCTTAAGCAATTGCAGAGCCCACTTTGGGTATCTATTTTTCCTTAAGCTTCTCCTTGTGAACTCAGCTTCAGAGGGAAATGTTCCCATAAATTAATTTCTATAGCAGACATCTTCCAAAAATCTTCAGTGAAAGTACAAGAAAAACACTAATGCTGAACTTTAAGACCTCAAAATAAAGGCGAGTAGTACAGGAGCAGAATGACTTGCAGATGAGTCCTCTCTCAAGACTTTGTTCTCAGATAATTGGAAGCAACTGTTTGATTCTTTAGCATTAACTTGTATCCCAGTACTCTAAGTAGTCTCTAAAACTTTTACTGAACCATTGGAGGGGTGGAGAGGAAAAGTAACTTGGACTATCGTATGGTCATTATGCAAACCCAATAATTTTATGTAGAAAGTGCTACTTTAGAGGTATGAAATTTGTTTAATGCTACTGAAGTGCCAGTGCATGGTATTGCTAAACTTCCTGGTGTTGTCAGAAAATAATTCTGAGAGGAGATGTTAAGTCTCTTTGCAATTTATTAATAAGTTGTGTGTTTCATTTAATTTTCTTTTTTAGCTGTCTGCTCCTGTGCCATTGTGCTTCCTTTCTGAAAGCCAACATAAATCTAGACTAAGAGCTTTTAGATGGGCTTTTTTCCCCCCACATATTTCACCAAACTGTGTAGCATTAGCAGTGTTAACTCAGCGTGTCTCTGGTGGGTCAAGGAGATTAGGACCGAGGTCAGCCTGTGCTACAGAATTTATGACTTCAGGGATTACTTGTAGTAATTGTGATTGGCTTTAGGCTTTTTCTTCCAGAGGGAGTAGCACATAAATTGTGTTGGATGTTCTAGGTCAACAGAGAAGAGCAGCATTGAATTTCATCTGCAAATAAAACTTGGTCCCACTTGAATGTGGCTAATGAAGGCAGAAATCATTGCTTTCTCTGGTCCTATTCCTGCACATTCTGTCCATGGTAAAAGTTACTCTTTTTAGGGTAAATGTGAATTCCAAAGGAGAGGTCATATCCCTTAGTTGTCTTCTAGTGCCACCCAATATTGGCTGCAGCTCTTTGTATGGGAAGAGATGGGCTTTTTAATGGGAAACTGCTTGGCTGATAGAGCAGGCTCCTCACCTGAGCTTGGCTGCAGCAGCACCTGTTACCTGGTGAAACCGCCGGTGCTGAGGCAATTCTGAGAAGTGATGATGTCAGCAGAAAGCAGTAAACAGAAGGAACAAACTGTTACTGGTAAACATGCTGGGACAGAGAATGTGTGCAATGACATGATGAAAGCTCTCAAGGATTCCCATGGTACTTGAACTGTTGCGACATCAGAGATCAAGGTCTGAGGAAATTGAATATTTGCAGTTCTCTTCCTTCACGCAGCGCTGCGAACTGTGGGAACTGATCTTCCTTCAGTCCTGAAGCACTTGTAAACTGCTGGGGGCATTGCTAACCCTCTGTTTGTCAGCTGGTAGCTTTGCAGAATGTTATCATCACATGTTGCGTTCATTTGTTTTCCTCTCAGTTAATTCAGTCTCCTGTGACCACTCCTCTGGGACTGATCATGTTAAAAACTACTTCAGAAGAACTGGCATGTCCACGGGAAGATCTTAGCGTAGCCCGGAAGGAAGAGCTACGCAAGCTGCTCCTAGACCAGGTGCAAACAGTGCTTGGGCTCCTCACAGGTATGAGTTACTGCACTTGCAGTGTTGAAACAAATGTCCTCCTTCACCATCTCTGAGGTGTTAGCTTGTGTATTCTGGGTTCAGTGAAGCAATATGTGGGCAACGTGGTGGCTGCTCCTGCAGTTTGAACACTCAACTCTACCCTTAGGATCAGCTTACTGTGAAACAAGCTTGTGTAGCAGAGCAGCTGTATAGCTACATGTGTGCCTCTTTATGATGAGGGATTGAGATTGTCCTCTCTTAGTGAGCCCAAAGAAATTACCAAGTGCTCAGACACACAATGTTCCTTGTCAAAGCACTAAAGATATGCTCTACCTAAGTTGTCTTGAAGTCTCCGCTATGTTTGTTAGATCCGTCTGTCTTTTAGCAGACTGTTCTGAAAAATATCTCTTTGGCCAGGTATTTTGGAGAGCATCTGGGACAAACACAGCGTTACTGCTGCCACACCACCACCATCCCCGACTTCAGGAGAAAGTGGTAAGGATGGCTAAAGCTACAAGATGACATTTACATGTACTTAAATTTGCAATATCAGGCATAGATTCCTTCCTTTACTGTCTAACCTCTTGTAATAACCCTTTCCTAGAGCTTTTCATAGGCCAACAAATTTCTGGTCGGAAAGACAAACTTTACAGGAAGAAGCAATTCCCACAGCAGGGGATGCCCCACTGAAAATCCCAGCTCATTGAAAAGTGCACAAATAGCTTCTTGCTGTCCTCAGATGGCAAAAAGCTTTCTGAAGTGTCAGTGCAAAATGTTCTAACGTCAGTGAGTTGGCATTGTCCTCTATGAATTTCAGTGATAAGCACATCAAAAGCCAGAGTGGAGCAAAACTGAGGCTCTAACTAAAAAAAAAAAGGAAAAAAAAATAAATAAACACTGACTAGGACACTGTGTGTGTGTGTGTGCAGAGAGAGTGAAAGTTTATTTTCTACCTATTGCTTTTAGTCTTTTGAGTGGGTGTTTATCTGATCTAAACTCATTGACATGTATATTTCTTGGTTACCTTCAAAACAGAGAATATATTTCTATATCCTTGTACTTGGTGCACATTTTGCTTTCCTGTTAAGACTAAATAGGGGATAGACATACAGGGTCACCCCACGCATAACGCTGATCTTGATGACTGCCAGTTTCTCTTGTGTCTTAATGTGACGTGGGTTGTTGTTGCATTCAGCTCACCCAAGCATTGTCAGTAGATTGTGGTGTCTTTGTTCCTGCTTCTTGGAAAACAAAGCAAGAAGAAATACCATGATGCCGTGACATCAGTATGGTGTCTGATCTTGGCTCTGTCTGCTTTTAACAAGGAAAGAGAAAGACTTAGGATCCAGTTGTGCACAGGGAGAAGGTGAAACACTTGTGGATCACAGAATCAGAGTCACACAATGGTGGGGTTGGAAGGGAGCTCAGGAGAT